AGATTACTGTAGCAACAGCAGCACTATTATCCTTATTACTATTAGTAAAGGTAGTAAGCGTCTTCTTCTTTGGCCGAACCTACAGCCTGGGGCCTCGTTCTTCTTCTCCTTCCAGTCCTGCCATCCGCTCTGGCTGCTGCTGCCGCTGCTTTGCCACCAGCCTGCGGGTATAGTTCCCCTTAAGTAGATAGAATATGGCTTTGGGTATATTATACTAAGATCCCCATATACCTCACATTTTATCTACTTAAGGGGGACCATGAGGGTAGGCGCTGGGCGATTTGCTTCTAAACATCCTGGTATATACTCTTTTCGAAAACAACATGCTATAAATCCCGCGCTTCAGGCGATCATCGAGCAAACTCTTCAGAATTCGGAATGAGACGTGAACATGATGCTGCTACGTTCACATTCTACAACGAAGCAAGTCTTACTGGTGCTTAAGGGATTGTGGGAGAGTGGGGGAGTGGATCCCTACAATGATCCCTATGTTATCCCCACATAGATCCCTACCATGGTACCCTATATGCACTCCCCAACTCCTAGACCCTAAACCTTTCAGCACCAGTACGAAGTAGGTGGTTAGCTGCCTTCGTCAGCTTTCCAATCCTTCTCAGACCACTTCTCCGAGCTGCTCCAGGACCTCTTCCTTGACCAAGAGGCATCCTGAGCTTCTGTTAAGGAACTTCAAAAGTACGTCCCCATAATATGAATGGCTGTCAAAATTATGGTCCCTTTTTGGATCCCTATTATAATACGGCACCTAATATTTAAGGTACCCAAGAAGGGACCATAAGTTTGACAACCACCCATTCTGACAAGTAATAAGGTTTCCTTTTTATAGCAATAAACCCTAAACCCTAACCTTAAATCCTAAACCCTAAACCCTTAAACAAAAAAATCCTTAACAGCAACCCAGCCTCTTCCTGGGAGCCCTCCTCCTTCCAGTCCTTCACTTCTCCATTGTCCGCCGACCAATCCTGCTTCTTCCAGCTCCCTGACCTTAGACCACACCTGCCTAGGATGAAAAAAGGATCCTCTGTACATAACTATAAGAAATCATCCCATACCCCAAACACTAAGGTTTAGGGTTTAGGGTTCTATAAGTAATCCCATACCCCCAAAAACGATAAAGGATCCCGAATATTGATCCAGTGGCCATGTTCGAGACCCCTGCGCTTTCGACCAGCTGCTGCTGTGACTTGCCTGCCGTGGCACTTTGAAAGGGTTTAGGGTTTAGGGTTTAGGGCGGTGGAACTTGCAAGAGAGCAATTTCCTGAAGTAACGTCAGCAGGTACCTGTGATAGAACGTCAACATTCTGGACACAAACTATGTCCGCACCTCTAGATCCCTGGGTTGCCTAGCTATGGAGACAACACTTCATATCATGAACCCTGACCACATGAACTGCCAGGGTGGTCCCATGTCACTGGGCGACAGCATGCTCTTGAAGCTTTGTCGCCTGAATCTGCATCTCGACTTTCCATGAAAAGGGCGTTGCCGTTGCTATTTGTATGTTTCGGGTGTATGGCACGAGAGCTACTTCTGTGGAAAGGGAAACTTCTTGCACCACATTCGGAATTTCATGCCGGAGGTTCTCCAGTATTTTGGGGATCCTCAGTGGTTCAAGATGTCCTTCATCCAACGTACAATCATTACTTCCATTGCTCGCGCGTGGTTGGGAAGGGGAAAGGACCCTCTTGCGGCAGCGCCCACATGTTTCCCAGTTTAGCCCTTCTTGAGTAGTTCCCATGCATCACGACGCCAATTTCCCAAACAAGCCCTGAACGATAGGCACAGACCCTCAAAGCCCAACAACCAGCAGTTTCCATTCCCTTCATGCCTTTCCCAGACCCCCCAATGGATCTAAAAATTATATCCCCTAGCACCATACTGGAAAGAATATAAGGATTCTCTAGGGGTTATAATGGGTCTATATGGGGGATCTGATTTTCAGATCCTCCCAGGGGTCTGGGTTCCCATTCCCAACACAGCAAAGCAAGAGCTTTGCTCAGATTTGGAGACAGGCCTCGTCCTTCTTTTTCCGAGGTGATCGGCTGCGCACATCGTCCCCTGAAGCTTACGTAGTGTCAGCAGCCCAATACCCCGGACTTGTGGAATTTATCTTCTAAAGTAGGGTGCAGGGTTTAGTATTTAGGGTTTGTGACAATTGGTCCGGGCTGGGGCGACTGCAAAACGCGCTCAGATGCATGCAGATTCAAAGACCGCTCAGCCATGAGAAGTCTTCGTCTATGCTAGGGTATTTTTGGGGGGGTTCAGGGTTTAATTAGAGAGAAATCCAGACCAAAGTGGCAGTGACCCTGACTAGACAGACCCCAATATATAGAGCTCCAAAATACTATGATCCTGATTATGGGGACCCCTCAGAAGGTACACCCACTTCTGGGAAACCCTAAATCCCAAACCCTAAATCCTAAAACCTAAGTCCTAAACCCTAAGCCCTACCTCCATATACCCCAAACTGAACCCAAAGCCCTAATTTCATATGAGCCATAGCCTAAACTCCTAGTATCCTCCTTAATAACCCCTATAGTAGTCCCATATATAATCCCCTAAATAACCCCCTTTGAGGAGTTTAGACTCTACCTCCATATACACCAAAAATCCGGTAAGAGCCTAGCTCGGTATGTACGCATCGCGACAATTTGACGACAGCTTGAAGATATGGGGGTTTCCCAAAATTAGGGGCACCTTCGTCCAGGTCCGCATAATCAGGATTATGGTGTTTGGGAGTCTACATTGGAGTCCGACTATTCAGGGAAAGTACCTAATATGAACTGGTAGCCGATTTAATTCACATGGTCAGGCTTTGCGTTTTCACTCCAGCCTAGATTTACTCAGAAGCCAATATCCCTTAAGTAGGGAATATACCGTGCATGATACTAGGATCCCTGATAATCTGATATGATTTCAGGTAGATTTCGATTAAGGGATAATTGGGCCTAAACGCTAATCCCTAAACCTAACCCCTACACCCTAATCCCTTAACCCGAATAATCCTTAAGCCCTATATTCCCTGATTAAGGGATATTGGCCTTTCTGGTCGTGCCGGCCTCTCTTTGCAAGGGGCCAGTCCTCGCTCCTTCACAGGCCCACGATTTGCGGTTTAGGGTTTTGAGGTCAGGGTTGAGGGTTCATTATTTTTCCGGGTTTGGGGTTTAGTGTGCCAGGTGCTTGTGAAGAGCTTCTTGGATTACATGGGGGTGTGAGTAGTGTCCCCCTTAAGTGCATAGAATATGGGATATATGGGGGTCTTACTATGATATTGTGCAATTCCATCTTCTATCTACTTAAGGGGGCCATAAGATGCCATAAGTAAGTAAGTATCCTAGAGGACCCCGAGCAGATGAGGAGTGTGGGTTTCGGAGCACATCTGGTTTAGGGTTTAGGGGTGCAGTGTAGAGTCGTGCTGCCACTCCCAACGCTCCAGCCGCAATGCCTTCCCTTGTCTTGCAAGTGCACGCCCTAAATGTCCTCGTTAACATTTATCAGCAGGAATGTCTTTGGGCATGCTTAGTTGGGAATGGGAAATAGATCCCTTCAGTCATTCTTTTTGCGTTTTAAGTTAGGCCCCATAGAGTAGTCCCGATAACCCAAAACCCTAAACTCTAATGCCCATACCCCCCTAAATCCCAGTACAATCCTAGTGTCCATTTCATTTTCCATTTGTGCTTTTCCGTTCGATTCTCCGTTACAGCATGAGCAAGTTTCCGGGCGCGAGCCTCTCCCTTCCACGGCTCAGCCTTTGTTCCAAGTGTCGGCGGGAGGGCGGAGAAGAAGGTGGCCTCGAACCCAACCAGAGCTGCTCACTAGTACTTACACATGCTCAGCCAGGAATGGGAAATGGGTTGTGATTATAGGGCTCCAATAGAAACTAGTCTAGTCAGTCCCCCCTTTCCAGCCAAGCATGAATAAGAGTAATTGCATGGTTTGTAATTCTTTGCTACTCGTCTTGCTAGCCGAGTGTTTTGCTAACATTGGTTTTAGATGGTTGCGGCTAGGGCGGTTGCTGATGCGGGTTCCATATGCTTCTTTCTGCCGTGCTGTGTGTTGCCACTTCCCCAGAAGCCTCTTTTGTCGACATAGACAAGAACACTCCAAACCCTCAAAGCCTAAAACGAGGTCCTGCCCGTTTCGTTTTCCACGTTATTTTCCATGTCATGTCAATTTTTTCGGGGTAATATATCCTTACTTATCCCTATATAATCCCTACATAACCCCATGTATCCCATGTATCTATATGTGCATATACACATACACACATGCACATATGTACATAGAGATGTACTCGTATATCCCTGTCAGGAATCGGGAATTGCACCTGCACTCAGACCCTAAACCCTAAACCCTAAACCACCCTAAATTCGCCTCGGCTGTCTCTTTGCCAAGTCCAGGTCAGGCGCTCGCGAGGGCCGAGCCATGGCTGTCAGACATCTGATAGCTGAGATAGATTTCGGATTTAGGGGCCCTATCACTCTTTTTCATGGCTTCATAGGGATAGGGTTTGTATGGGATTTTGAGCCATACCGAGTACACACCATTCTCACCAGGAATACTAACAACCGTAGAATGACACCTGCAGACAAAGCTGGTAATCATCCATCGCGGGGAGCTCTAACTGAACTTTTCTGACCCACACTGGTGACAGGAGAACTTTTAAGTTGCTAAGAGGCAGGTATCTGCACTAGGGGTTGGGAGCGCCATATGACCCTATATAACCCCAGTGTCCATGTACCATGTTTTTTGCATGTGATTTGCCTTATTGGGGTAGAATGTCCCTATATATCTCCTTATAGTGCTGCAAATAGCAAAGCAATTTACTAGGGGCGCGCCTCTATGATTGTTTGAGCAGCTGCGCGTGAAACTCCAAGTAGTTCCCATCAGGGCTGTTCTCTGTTTCATCAAAAAATGGTTGTGGCCAATCTGTTCAAGTCCGAGCTTGACTGGTGCACATACTCCAAGAATCAAGGTGCCACACGTTAGAACCCTCCCCAAGTTCGGCCACCACGAGAGATGTCCACCCTTAGCGGCATTTGCTATTGCTGGCAGCAGCCTCTGCTGCATGCTGCTATGGAGCATATGAGCCGTAGTCTATACTCCTACCCAATAATATAGCCCCTAAACTGCTCCCCAATATCATCCCTCATATCGCCAACTGTTTAGCAGTTTAGACAGTAGCTGATTTTTATCTATTGGCAATGTGCTCTTTCCTCTGCTGCACGGCACGACACTATCATTTGAGTCGTGGGCTTGCGGCCTCTGCAGGCAGCCTCCTGAATTTTGGCAAGATGGTAGTTTCCCAAAATAGGGGGACCGCAATATGCTATGATCCTTATCATGGGACCCCCCCAAAAGGGTGCCCAACAATTTTTTGGAGACCCCAAGTTCGGACGCCATTAATTGGATGCAACTTTGAAGCCTGCATGGCAGAGCCAGCTGAGGGGAAACTGCAGTATAAGCCCAAACTCTAAATAGTAGTTGCCACTTTCTTTTCCATGAGCCCTGTAAAGCCCACCCCTGTATATCCTCAAGTTATTATAGCCCCAATGTTCCAACACTCACAGGTACGAGCCCATACACTAGTTGCCAGACAGCAAGCTCAGCTCATGACCAAGACTTGTGATTCCCAACCTGCTTGGAGATAGCGGAATTTAGGGTAAGGGGTTGAGGGGTTAGGGACAGATCACGATATGTGATTCTGAAAACGCGTAGAAGGTTTAGGGTTCAGGGCTTAGGGTATAGGGCTAAGAGGCTAAGACGATTCTAGGGATTCTGGGGGGTTCTCATCCAGGATCATCTAAGGGATAGTTTCTAGAAACTCCCATATAAAGAGTTGGGGAAGCACCGCATATGCCTCGAACCCAACGCGGATGTGCCCGACTTCCTCAGGATTGCTCATCGAAAAATCAAGCTTGACGCAGCTTCTCAAGTTCCATGGGCGTGACTGGGACGTATATGGGGTTTACACTTTAGGGATATTACCCCAATAACGGAGACTCAAATGGCAAAGAACAGGGATCATGAAATGGACACTGGGATTACGTAGAAGTTTATAGGGTGGATAGAAAGAATCGTGCAATACCCTAAGCACCTTACATCTTGCGACTTGTGTGTACTAAGGTTATGGGTATTCAACTCTAGCCCCTAAACCCCGCGGACCAGGGCCCGAGCAATTTGCTCTCCGGTAGCCTTGCAGAGACAGCGGCGTGACGTCCTTGGGCGTCTTCCGACAGTACACACTGCAATGGCAAGAGCCACGCGGTTCAAGGTTTATGGTCCCACGTAAGTAGACAGAATATGGGGTGTATCTGGATCTTATTATAAAATACCTAAAGCCATATTCTATCTACTGAAGGGGGGCTATAGGGTTTAGGGGGCAGTACCCTCTATAGAAATAGCCACCCTAAACCCCAAACTTCGGGGGATCCAGCTGCGGTAAGCCAGTGAACCCTAAACCCTGTACATCCCTATATATCCATATATACCTCACATATCCCTATGTATCCCCATGTGCCAATATATTTCCCGCTTTGACGCTCTCTTCTTCTGGGTCCGCTGCACATAGTCCGCACGGATGTTCTTCAGAAAGCAGTTTGCATGAGCCTCGAGCGCTACTTGAACAGGGTTTAGGGTTTGGGGCTTAGGGTTTAGAATAACATGACGATACATATGGTTTAGATGGGCTACATAGGTATGTGCGGCATATAGGGTACATAGGGGCGATATGGCGTATATGTAGGAGCTATGTGGGATTGAGTATTTTCAAAGACGTTCAGTTCTCACGCCCGGAAAAGGCAGTGACGCGGCTTCTGCACTTTGCCATCTCCCAACCTAAACCCAAAACATTAACCCCCTTAATCCCCAAACCCTAGAATTTAGGGCTTAGGACTTTGTAGTTTCAATTTGCGTTTCCATTTAAGACCTATGTACCCAGTATCTGTTTCATGCTCCATGTTTTCAATTTATTGGGATACTACTGTCTATATGATCCCTACATAAACCCCCTATATCCCCCATATCACACCATATCATCCCTGAGTGACCCCTGAACCCTAAATCCTAAAGCCTTAAACCCTAAACCCTAAAACCCCAAACCCTAAACCCTAAAACCCCAAACCCTAAAACCCTAAACCCTAAACACACTAAAAACCCTAAACCCTCTCATCTGTAAACAACCTCCAGGTTTAGGGGCCAGACCCAGAGCTGCACCGTCCGGCCCCCAGCATAGCCTGCACGGAGTGGTGTGGCACCATAAGCAGATGGACCGAAAACAGAAGTTATATTTTTTCTCGGACCTTTTCTCCTAGGCATGGTCCTCTGAGATGTTCTTCGGTGTTTGGGATTTAGGGTTTAGGGTCTTAGGGTTTAGGGTTTTAGGGTTTAGGATGCTGGTTTCCCAAAATTATGGGTACCCTTTTAGGGGTCCCTATAAGAAGGATTATAGCACATTGTGGTCTATATTGGGGTGTCCCTATTTAGGGAGAGTAGTGAATCCTAAATCTTGGCTACTGCCCCCACCTTGCAACAGTCCATTGTAGGGGTCATATTAAGGTCTATTTAACTATATATATATATATTTATCAAACTGCTAATGAGTGGGTGCAAAACCCAACTTTAACCACCAAGCTCAAATCCCTACAGTAAACCCTTAGAGTCTTCGATTCAACCCTGATCCCTAAGCCCTAAACTCCTAAACCCCACCCTCTAAATCCTACCCCGTGCCGGGGATGCCGAATGCAGCGCACTGCCCGTGCAGCTGCCCAGATGCCGAATGCTGACAGTTTTGATCTATTTGGCTAGTTCCCAAAAGCTAAGGGGAACGGAAAAGAAAATGGAAACTACTATAGTGGGTGATATAGGGGCTACTATAAGGATCCATTATGGGATTGTGATAAGGGTTGTTCTCAAAGTTATGGGCCCCTTTTGCTTATGGATTTGATTACGGCACCCTAACATTTAGGGCTACTAAAATGGGACCTTAATTTTGGGAACTACCCATTTGAATAATCACAACTGGAGAGCCACGGGCTGCGACGAAAGCTCAATGATGTACAGGAGTGGCGAGACAGAACGTGAAGAGACAGACCATACACAACCAGAAGAGCACGCAGCCCAGCCCTGACTGCCCATTAAAAGAACTGCAACGCCCCCTACCGAAACCTTCCTTTAACAAACACCCTCCAAGATCCCCCCAAAACCACCCGAAATCCCCCCAGATCGCGCCAAGATCCACCCAAGATCCCCCCCAACATCACTCCAAGACCCCCAAGAGCACCACCCCCCCAACACAACCCCCAAGAATCTAGCCAAAAAGGCCCTCCACGGCAACGCCGGAAAATCCAGCCT